TAAAGTGATATATATATATATATATATTTGTTATTTAATTATGTGAATCCATAGTCCTAAACCGATCCAATCCGTATTTAAATGGATTGGTTCGGATTGGTTCCATGATTTAAACGGATTGGATTAGTTCTAATTTTTCAGGAACCGTAGATAACGAATTAGTCCTGGTTTTACCCCAATCCGGTCCAATCCGAACCATGCTCACCCCTATATATGAGTTACAACATCGTTTATTTTTTATTATGATCTATTATAATATTAATTATATTTTAATTATGACTCATTATAATATTATTTATGACTCATTTTAATATTAATTATGACTTATTATTATTATTATTATTATACCTTATGTAATATTTGATTATGATTTTTTTTTTAATTATAACATTTGTAATAATCACATCACAAATTATCACAAAATGACATAATTTATATATGGTGATGGTGTGTATTATAGAATAACCCATATATTAACTAATAATTAAGAACATAGAAAACAAAAAATAGAGTAAGGAAACTTAAATGGAACCTCAATGGGTTAGCCTAACAGCTTAAGACTTGGGGCTTAAGAGTTTACTCTCTTTAAGTTTTAAATTTGATTTTTCTAACAAATATAAAACCCTTAAAGCCACGAACTGTAGAGAGATCTATTTTAAAAAACTTATTCGGACTGTAAGAACTTATTATGATACGTGAAACCTGGCCTACTAAGATGCCAAGCATAAAAAATATAGAATAAAAAAAAGGGGGGCATCGAAGAAAAAGACCCAAAACTCATGGGTTTTTGTGTAAAAACAGAGAACTACAGGTGGTTAAATAGCAAATATCACAACCTAAAGGACACATATTTCGAAATGTGTGCTTTTCTTCTCCATCTTCTCTTCTTTCTTCTTCTGAATGGTCAGAGTTTCTGCGCGCGCACACACACTATTAAAAAAACTTGGCAGAGCCAGCGACCACACTCCACCTCCTTCTTCAGCCTCTGACTGACCATTATAAGGACAGACCCGAACCCGGACCCGAACTTGTATCCGATGCTAGGAGATTGCTGTTGTTGCTTTCCGGGTCGGAGCTCCGCCTCAGGCGATGTCTCCGATCGCGACCCGGTCCTCCTGGTGTCTGGCATGGGGGGTTGCATTCTCAATTCGAGGAAGAAGAAGAAGTTCGCGTTACAGACTCGGGTTTGGGTTCGGATCTTCCTTGCTGATTTGGAGTTCAGGAAGAAGGCCATGTCACTCTATAATCCCCAAACAGGTACACCTCTCTTGCTGATGTTTGGTTTTTGCAATTGTTATCTGTTTGGTTGAAGAGAAAAGAAAATTTGGTAAAGGTGAAGAAAATTTGGAGTGGTTTGCTTTGCTTTGCTTTGCTTTGTCTTGTACTTTTCTTTTGGAAGAAACAAGTAAAAAGAAAAAGAAAAGAAAGTTTGATTCAATTAGGAGGGAAATAGGTGTGATAGGCTAATTTGAGGATGTATTATTATTATTAGTAGTAGTTGTTGTGGTAGAAATCCTTCGCTCCAAGTTTCCTGGAAAATACACTAGAAAATAAAAAGAAAAATTGACACAAAATCACACAAGAAGTTCACTAAATCAAGATTGTAGAGAGGCTTGAGTTTGTCAGATCGTTAAACAAACCATAACTTGCCTTGAAACCGTGGATCTGTACCGCTGCCACCGAGAACTGCTGTTAACCTTGAAACATAGTGAATCTTAAAGAGAGAGGAGAGAGAGAGAGAGAGAGAGAGAGAGAGGATTTGGTGAGATACGATATGAGATGAAGGGCTACCAAAATGATGGTGGTGCTAGCTCATTCAATGGCTTCAGTGTAAGATGCTCATCTAATGGCAATGTTAATTGGAAAAGAAGAAATACAGACCTGACCAAGCCAAATCAAATCTTAAGGACCATCAAATGGGGTCCGTTAATCTTCTTCTCCACTCGACTCTTTGCAAGGTTATTTTATTAGTTAAATTAAGAAGGTTCGTATCTCTATTTATTACATTAGTTCACATCAATCTAGGTCTGTCGCTTCTCCTAACACTCCCATCTACCGTCACTGTATCGCATCTTTTCACTACTGTTTTTCACTACTGTTTCTGTTGATCTCCATTATATATGATCAGACCATCTCAATCTATTCTCTCTCAACTTATCTTCTATCGATACTACTCCTATCCATTCTCGAATATACCCTGCGCAAGGATGACACGCACAAATTGATAGGTAAAAAAAATGGTAAAGAATATAGGAAAAGGTAATTGTGACAAAATGACATTTGTACTAGTAAATCACTTGCCAAGTTAGAGCTTTGACATTGCCAGAATGGCAATAACTAGTCTAGATGCTCTTAGTATTAGCATTCGTAGTAGAGGGTCATCGGAATCGGCCTCTCCACATAGAAAGTGGGTTAAGGCTGTGTACCCATCATTTGTCTCTCCTAGACTCTACACTACGTGGGATAAGATTTCGTATGAATGAAGAAGGTGGTTTGCTTTCTTAGTTGAATAGAAAATTTATTATTGAATGTCGTGTGCTTTCTTTGTTGAATAAAAAATTTCTTTGTCTACTCAAATTTTAATTATAGGCCTTTTATGATCAATTTAATTTCTTCTAAACTTTCACCTGGTTTGATTATTTATTGCTTCTTGAATCCGAGTTTGTGTTTTTCAGGTTATACAGAATCATTGGATGACAGCATTGAAATCATGGTCCCTGAAGATGATTATGGACTGTATGCAATTGATATTTTAGATCCCTCACCTGTAAGATTGATAGTTCTATTGATGACATTCTTTTAGTCCATGAATAACTGCTTTATATCACATCACCTCTTTTGTGAATTTGCTGCTTCATTTTTTTTCTGATGAGTCAAAATTGTAAGATAAACTTATGAATCAGAATATTCGATCACTGGGGATGTGGTAACAAGGGAGCACCCCTAGAGGTCATAAATAAAATTTCTATATATTTAGCTAAACCTGAAGTGAAAAGATACTATTAACATGATGTGGTTACAAAGCAGCATCTCAAAAGCTTTTAATAGAATATTTAATTGAACTTCAAATTCACCACGTGGAGTCTCACCTATCCCAAAACATCAGCTGCTATCTCCTTGTAATCTCCTTATATTGATTTCTTCTATGAAGTGATCTTTCTCCCAGCCAAAGCCAATTTCTTAGCTTTATATTCAGCCACTACAATATAATGGCTACCAAAATTGCTTGTGCTTGAGAGTTATGTTAAAAAAATCCTGTCTTTGCTCTGTGTATCACTTTTCAATGCCCAGCAAAATTTAGATTTCATATACGAGTCTCTATTGGGAGAAAAATAAAATGTTCCTTTGATTGCATTGCTCCAAATTCAATGTAGGCAGTTGATAATGTTACTTTTGAAAGTCAAGTGTGTAGGGCTGCTTCAACAAAAGGTCAATTTCTAAAAAAATATGGCGAAGAAATTCCACATTGCCAACAGAGAATGGTCAATTTTGAGTTCTATGCAAGCCAATTTCAAGTCAGGAGTTCAAAAAACTGATAGTTAAGATTCCAGGTTTGCTTAATTCTTGTATAAGAGTTAAGCTTGACTTATCATTTGAAAATGATATTTTTTCTAGACTGAGCATTTTCTTGATTACTTTTTTCCCTCATGACATTTGTTTGCCGTTGTTATTTATGTAAATTTGTTTGTTGCTTATTTGAGAAAAAATGTCTTATATGTATTTTTTCTTGATTTTCAGTTTGTAAAATGTGTACATTTGACTGATGTATACCACTTTCATGATATGATTGATATGCTCACTGGATGCGGGTATAAGAAAGGAACCACATTGTTTGGATATGGTTATGACTTCCGGCAAAGCAACAGGTGGTTCAATTTTACCTGCTAAATTTGGTGCTTAAAACCGTCGATTATGTTATATTTTGTGGTGAAACTGTCCTACAATCTGAGTGACATGTTTCTGTGGGCAGAATTGACAAGGCAGTGGATGGCCTTAAAGAAAAGTTGGAGACTGCATACAAAGCTACTGGTGGAAGAAAAGTCAATATAATTTCTCACTCAATGGGTGGACTGCTAGTAACGTGTTTCATGTCTCTCCATAATGATGTGCGCATATTTTCTCCCGTTGACTTGTATCAATTACATGGAAACTATTAACAACTTATCTGCCCCAAGAGGAATGACCAATGGTGTAATGCTTCATCGGCAGGTATTTTCCAAGTACGTAAGTAAGTGGATCTGCATCGCGTGCCCTTTTCAAGGTGATTTCTCAGCACCACGTGTTTGCTTGTTTGGCAAACATTATGCTTATTGGGAGTTTCAACTTTGCCTGAAAATGTTGTTTGGCTAAGCTCAGGAACCCTGGAGAATCATGCATTATGTTATAACTCAACATAACAAAACAGGTCTTTTGGATCATTGCCATTGGTTGCCAATTGTCTTCCGTCAGTGACAAGGTTTTAAAAAGCGGCCGCAACCGTTACGTAACGCCGTTATGTAACGGTTTTGGCGGTTACCGCCACCCGTTACGGCCGCTTTTGCAGTGTGATTGAGATTCACAAGTGTGTCGGCCGTAGTGGCTGCCGTAGCGGTCGTAATGGTGCCGTAACGGCCTGTTACGCGCCGTTACGTAACGGTTCCAAACTGTTTCTTTCGAAAAAAACATACAAAAAAAAGCTAAAAATGGGGAAAGAGGGATAGAGAGAAGAGGGGAGATAAAGAGAGAAAATGGAAGAGTAAGAGATAGAGAGAGAAGAGCGAAGATGAAGAACATGTTATTGATTTGTTGAAACTGTAAGACCCATGCTATTCTATTCAGCTGCTATCACTAAACCATTTTGTTTGTGTGTCTATCTATATATTGTTTGAAAATAATAATAATATGTGGCCATTATCTATTTGGCTTGGTTAAAATATGTATATATATATATATATATATATTTAGGCTCTTATTTATTCTCTTACTTTTGTCATTATTTATCTTATATATAATAGTTAGTGATTGATTTTTTGTATAATATAAAGTCATTAATTATTAAAATAAAATGTAAAAAACTCAGTTTATAATGATTTAAAAATATGAAATATATTTGATCATACTTAAAAATTTACAAAAATTGATCAATATTTATTTTTAACCCAATAAATATAATCATGGAAAAAAAATATGTGTATCGGTAAGTTTTTTCAAATTATACAAAAAATAAAAAAATTCACGGTTCCGGTTACCGCAACCGTTACACTACGGCCTTTACACCCCGCAACTGCAACCGCGTCACCGCCACCATTACGGCGACCGCAACCGCTTTTAAGAACATTGGTCAGTGATATCAATCACATAAATGAGGTTCAGTGGCTAGTGTCCGAAACAATTTAATTTCTTCCGTTTTTATTATCTTTAAAACTGAAAGGTAAACAGGATATGGTTCTAGTAAAGTAGAAAGAATGGATAAAAAATTGGTTTCACTCATTTTAGGTGAGTGTAATGAAACAATTTTGACTGAGATAAAAGCTTTAGAAATTATGATGTTCAGTTGTGATTTTTGTTTCTTTTATTTCCTCTAGCATGTTAGATTGTTATTGCATTACAGGGAAAAACAAAGGTTAGTTCAATTTCTTATTGCTCTTAGAGATTAGTTTGAGACTTTTCACGGTGATATATCATTCACGTTTGCCTTCAGTTGATAGGGCCGTCCGTTCGGGACTTAATAGCTAAGGAAACACTCAAGTTTGTTCATAGTACATCTCCTCAGTATTTTTTGATATACACGGTTTTGTATGTATATAAAATTTAGTAATATTGATATTTACTTTGTTTTAGACATTGTGTGTGTATCTTTATATGCATATACATATATAAAATTACATATTACATTTCACGATTCAATACGATTCACAATTCTTTATTTTAGTAATATGATTCATGATTCTCTATTTTAGCAAAACGATTCATGATTCGATTTGTTAATTTGATAACAATGCATAGAAATTGATTGCCATTTTGTCACTATTGCTTTGCCCTTTGTTTCCTCCTCTTTTGCAACTTGCAAATTTTCTAAAGGCATGTATTTTGGTAGTTTTCCTTCGTTATTTCATTTATTTAATATAAAGGTACTTTAGTCATCTTTGAGTAATTAGGGTTTCTTCTTATTTAATTAGATGTAACCAGTTTGGTAAAAATGTTGATTGAAGAATAAGACAATCTCCTTTGTCTCTATGTATGGTATTTGTAACACATAATTATATTTATTGTTTTTGTCTCAGAAATATATAACTTGTAAAGAACAAAAGCAGATACATAAATAGAGCAAAATTTAGTTGATGTTGATGATAATGAACAAGAAGGGGAACACAAATAAAGCGGGAATAAGTTTATACAATTATCTTCTCTTTGAATAGAAAAAGCGGTTCCATGCTCTTTGAAATACAGCTTAGAGCATTGTTTTTACACAGTTTAAGCTGTTTTTGTGTTTCTTTTGATTTTTCTTAATGTGTTTTGCAAGCATGTTTCAATAGCAAGTATGTTATATGCTTAACAGGTGCACCAGGATGCATCAATGATTCTCTCTTAACTGGACTGCAATTTGTTGAAGGCTTTGAAAGCTTTTTCTTTGTGAAGCGGTGGACAATGCATCAGCTGGTAACTTTCATGTTCTAAGGAAATTTCTTGCTATGAAACTAAGCTATGTATTTTTATTGTCAAGTAGGATCATATTTCAAAGGCAGATAGATACCTTTAAAAGGTTCCCTATCCTACATGTGATCATTTGATAAATTGAATCCACCTCATGCTATGTTTGATGTGCATTAATTAATAATGTCATAATTACTCGTCGTAAGAGTTGAGAACATTGTATTTTTTTTAACATCAAATAAAAAAGTTCAAAAAACCGCGCTTTAAGCGTATTTTGTAAATGCACTTTACTTTAACTACTATAAGCTTTTCTGCTATTGCACTTGAAGCCCACTTTTGCCAACACTGATCTTGCTGCTTATCATTCTCTGAAATAATGTTTCCTTAATGTAACAGTAACCTGCACACTGCACATGCATGCTCATGTTTGTATGCACGTGTGTTAAGTCTAACCTTGTTGTCATGCTGTAAATGAGTAAGATATCATAATAATAATTTGAATATATAAAGAATAAATATCATAATTGACCATTAAAAATAAATAAATAAAGCGGAGGGTTTAGTGTCAAATGGTTAGGGAAATGTATTAGGCATTTGAAGTACTTCTTGGATAATCTGATGAAAGATGTTAGGAATGCAATGGCATACATCTCAGAATGCATTGACTCAGGTCATGTTGGAATTTAGCTCACTTAAATGGAAGCTCCTTGAGGTTAGTAAAAAAGAATCTTTAGAATGCATGATCACATATTCTTATGAATCTTATCAGTTTATTATTTAAATAGTTGGAAAAGTTGGCTGTATTACTCAACCGGGGAAAAAGGTTGGGTTATATAACTTGTATTCTTTGCTTGACTGCTTTGCATGCTATACAGAAACAATTTGTCAGTTTAGCATGTTACTGGGTCTAATTATGTTCTATGTTTCAGCATTCTTCATTTCCCTTGATTCATTTGATATTACTTAAATTTTCCTCAATATGTAGCTGGTTGAGTGCCCGTCAATGTATGAGATGTTGCCAAATCCGGAATTCAAATGGGAAAAGCAACCTGAAATTCAGGTCTGGCGAAAGCAATCTGAGGATGGAGAAACTTGTGTCAAATTGGAATCTTATGATTCAACCAATAGTTTTATTCTGTTTGAAGAGGCTTTAAGGCATAATGAGGTACTACATTTCGACATTATATACCTGCAAAACACTCTGAATTCTGTGGTTTCCTCAAGTTCCTATTATCTGAACTTTGAGCTTTCTTAATTTATTCGAATCATTTGAAGTAAAATTTCACTCCAAAGAAAAAAAGAACATAGAAGCAAGAATAAATTTAATAATTTCTTGGAAGACCACAGTCTGCGGACGTCTCTTGCAATTTGCCTCGCCAATCCTTATTAAACCAATGGCCATGGGGCTCAATTTAATTTCTGGTTTTACTTCGGAGTGTAAATATGTGCAATCTGCAGACAGATGATTAATACGTAGCTGTTTGTAGATTGCTTGATTTATGTATTAATCTAAATAAATTGTCTGCACGTGATGTCATTTCTAATTTTATTGTGCCTGATTTATATACAGTACACCCAACAGTTTGTTTATTTAAAACGCTATTGTGTATTGCCAAATTTATTTCATGTTTGTTGATTGCAGCTAAGTTACGGTGGGAAAACAGTTGCTCTCCCCTTTAACTTCTCTATCCTCAAATGGGCTACTGGCACTCGCAAAGTTCTCAATAATGCTCAACTACCCAAAGGGGTGTCTTTCTACAATATTTATGGAACATCCTTCGACACGCCTTTAGATGTTTGGTATGTAACTAAACCACATATCTAGTTGGGAATACTCAATTAGATAAAGGGCTTAGAAGAAAATTCACATTTGTATTGCATTTGAATGTATATAATTGGTTTGAAGCTGGAAATTTGATTGCCTGAATGCAAGTATTGTTTCCTGGACAAGAATGGTATTACTGGGTGCATCTTCAATATCTGAAACATCACACACTGGTTTCAATTGTGAGAAATAAATCGGAGAAGGATTGGTTATAAATAGTTGTAACATTTTTTGACTAGTTATTTTATAATTATGACTGTTTGAGGTGTCATGTTACTCCCCCAACGAACCAATCCTGTCATTTTGTCTTTTATTTGAATGTTCCGGCTTCTAATGGCAAAAACAATGGTGCCAACTAGCAAGGAGTAAGCATCCCAGTATCAATGTTTAGTTTATGCTTTTCTGTAACTGTCAAATGTATCCTTCTTTAGATTGTGATATTCTTTTCGGTTTATCATTCTAAATCCCATTGATCTGAACCTCCCTAACATTCTGAATAGCTGTGTCCATGTTTTTATTCTCTGCATAGTTATGTCATGTTTCATAATTATACGTTTTTCTCAAATCCTAATCTCATTCTAAAAAAATGGTGTTTTTAAAAAAGCATTACCTAGAATTTTAGGAACTATATCCCGGTTTGAATCTAATTTACGTCTAACTTGTCTTGCTCCTGCGTGCCAAATCTGGCCTGTGAACTACCCACATAATATCCTAGCTTGTTGGTGTGGATGAGCTTTCACATCTTTTCTGCCAAACTTGAGCCAAATATGACCATAGAGAGTACATTTCAGTACCATTCAGGATGATCCTCATGCCGTTTTGGATTTGCACAATTTAGCTTATGTTAAAAGACTGGATAGCTGCATCATAAACATTTTTGCGATTGTGACACATTATAATCACGTTTGACCTATGCTTATATCTTGCAGCTATGGTTCAGAAACTTCTCCAATTGAGGACTTGCCAGATGTATGCCACACGATGGTAAGTATTGATGTTTACTAATATAATTCAATAAGCTACTCGTGACCCTGCTGTTGTTTATTAGATTTATGTAACAACTTCAAATCCCCTTTTCTCCCATAAACAGCCACACCTTAAGACTCCTTATTGTGCAAGTGTTGGAGAGCTTGATATTGTTGGTCCATTTCCTGATAGCTTAAGCTTTTGAGATAGTGACATAACATGATATTAGGGCTCATGGAAGATCCCTATTTGCATTATTCTTTTTCTTATTTACATTCTCTCCTCTCTTCTCTCTCTATGTATGAATATTTGCATCTCCACATAGATCCCCTTACGTATGAGGAGGGTGTTGGAGAGCTTGATAAACATTGTTGGACTTGTTTCCAAACAGCTTAAGCTTTTGAGACAATTGGCAACTTAACATTGAGTACTAGCACATATTTTCAGATTGAGCCTTATGTATCATGAAAGTGCAGGCAAGAGTGTATATATATATTTGTTTTGGGTTTTAATTATATTTTCTATATTTTATCTATTTTAGCCCAAGTACTCGTTCGTGGATGGAGACGAAACGGTATCCATAAAAAGTT